ATACCTCATGACACATAAAAATCAATGTTTATCTGTGTTTTTTTAATATTTGCTTTTAAATTAAGAAATTGAATAATATATAGTACTAAAATTTGTATAATAATCTACAGTTTGATGCCAAACTTGTTGAGATAAATTCATGAAATAGTAGTTCAATAAAATTTTGAATACAAGTCAACAAATGAGATGACATGGCCTTTCACCCGTGACCCATATAGAAAGGGTTAATGTTATTTTCTGCTGTATATAGTGTTTTGATGACTGTGTATTTTCTTGTTGCTATAACCAATTTTCTGTTGTAATTCCTATTAAAAAAAAAACTTGGTACTATCCATCATTTTAAATAATGGCCACTAGCTAATAATAATAACCATTCATAACTGACTAGTATTATCTAACAGAGATAATGTGTCTTGATAAAACTATAATGTTTTAATAAACACTTGATAACAACTTAAAAAAATTTACAAATATATATTATGTTTTGCAAAATTTCTCAAAGAAAGGAATAACCTGGACTGAGCATGAGCCAGTGGTTAGTGTGTCAGACTGTAGATTTGAGGTTTCATGACTTTTTACCCCATTACAGTAAAACATGAAATCAAAATCCCACTCCACATTTTGGAACTATGGGTATTTTTAATCTGACAAGAGCAACCCAAGAATTAGCTGTGGGTATTGTTGAAAAGCTGCATTTATTTTAGACTATCAGTTCAAAATTAGGGATGGCTATGCTCAGATAACCCTTGAGTCGCTTTGGGAAGAATTCACCCAACAAACCAAAGGGCAACCTTTTAACTAATTTTATACATCAAATATGTAATTGTTTGATGTGGTCTTGGATGTGTAAGTTATTTTTTCTTATTCAAAACATTTCAAAATATTGTCACTTGTATTTATTTCTATCACTTTTCTTAGCAAAATAGTTATGACTCTGACCTTAATAGATAAAGGATAACGTTCCTACTTCCAAAGAGTCATCCATTTTAAATTAATCTTTATAGCTGAACCTCATTTTCTCTTCATCACATTTGTTTGTGCTGTTTTATGAAATGTTCTTTCTTATTCTGTATCACAGATTGCATCTCGTTTTGTTGGAATCATTGTGTCATACTGTATGTTTCTGTGTGAAGTATTCTGTCTTACACTATATTAAATATTCTTTGCCATACTACATTAAGTAATCAGTGTCATGTTATTAAATGAAACATTCTGTGCTGTGCTATATTAAATAATCAGTGTTGCGCTATTAAACATTTTGTGCTGTGTTATATTAAAAATTCTGTGCTGTGCAATATTAAATACTTATTGACATGTTATTGAATATTCCACGTCATATTGTATAAAACATTTTGTCTTGTCCTGTCTAAAAAGTTTTGTCTTATGCTTCCTGAAATATTCTGTCTCATGTTGCAGATCTAGGATTTTATTCAGGGAGGTGGTATCAACAGATTTGTTTTAAGCAGCTGCCAACTCATTTTACACACAAATAGTGTCCATAGAAGGCAATATGAAGCAATAGTTTTTAATTAATTTATGATCTAAAATTTTTATTATTTGATCATGGAATACAGTACACAAACTCCCCTCCCCCACGCTGTCCTCTTGGCACACAGAGTGAAACCTTCATCCCTCCATGATATTCACAAAATCAGATACACTATATCTAGAATAGACAAGTATTTTCACCCTCAACCAATTACAATGTTTTACTAAAACTTGTAATAAAGGAAACATATATCTGAAGTAACTAACCTAAAATTTTTGTAGGCTTTTTAAAGTGCACAACACACTGTTTTTACAGGGTTTTTTACTGATTTTAGACCTTATTTTTAAAATCATATGATACAATAAATTCTCTAGGGATTCAGTGAACCTTTTGAATCTCATCTTTGTCCACTATTAGTCTCATACTGTGTGGGACATCCTGCCTAATGCTTTATGAAACATTTTTCTCATGCTGATGAAACATTCTGTCACATGATGTGTGAAATATTCTCTCTCATGATGTGTTTTCAATGTTGTGTTGATATCATATGGCATGCAAGCTAGTCTGAAACAAACATACATTGAAAACTGGTAGAATAACTGACATGTATTAGTCCCAAGTTTGATTGTGTGAGATCTCCAAGCATATTGTGTTACTACCTCCTGTGTATGAACTTTTACAGATAGTTGAGTACATTATATTAAAGTAACAGTGGAATGGAATGTATCAGAATTATATTTTGACATTGTTTGGCATTTTTTAGGTAGTGTGATACCACTGAAAATTAACTGCTTTTGTGAAGGTATGTAAGAGCTCTTTCTGACACAAAATATTCATACACTGAGATCATAAAAATATCACTTGTGCTTAATAGCATTGGACAACAAAGGGATGTGGATCAACTTGGGAAGAAGGACCATTAAGAAAGAGACCTACAATAAGTCATACCCCAGCTTTTTTAAGTCAGTGCTGTGTCTTGTAACAAGTGAAAATCCACAAACACAAAGCTCAGCAGCAAGATCCATCTATGTGTCTCAGAGAACAGTACACAACATAATCAAGAAAGATCTCCATCTGGAACAGAAACACAGGTTATTTGCAACAGATTGGTTTCACAACATACCTGCTTAATTGTCACATACCTCAAATGACTGGAGAATGAAATTCGTATTCATATCACTACACAAAAAGACTGCTATAAGTTGCTGGACACAGTGTCTATGTATACATCTGTGAAATGGACACTGGAGAAACAGTCATCCTCATGCAATAGATGCATTATGAAAAGCAAATGGGGAAGTGGTGTGCTTTGGACATGACAGCCTTACAAAGGAGCCATTTGAAATGGAAACTACATTGAGGTGCTGTTGTTAAGATGCAAAGTTATCAGATAGAAGTGGCTGGGCTTCAAAATCATTTTAGTATAACACTAGCAAATGTATCCAGCTTTGCTTGGGTTATTAGGTTGATATATTCTAGATGACTTTGTCAGTGTGTATTTTGAACCTATTTTAGCATCCCACAGGTGGACATAGTCTACAATTTGGAGCTTCTTTTGTTTTATGCAAATGAATCGTAGTCTTTCTGTTTCAATTTTGGCATATATTATGATTTGACCATTATGATTTTAGTGACGGGGGTGCAAGGGGGCTGTGAAACCTTGTAAGTGTAGTAAATGTTGGTATGATTTAAAGGAATTAATAAATAAGCCTAAAGTAAAGACATAGTGTGAGATAACCTAGAGCCAAGTGCATATAATTTATCATGGAAGTAAAAATATCAAACTTAAATTATTTCTGAATTAAGCTTTTTCTGTTATATCACCAAAGTTTTTAATAAAAAACAAACCTCTTTAATCAGCGGAAACTAAATTAAGAAATCAACAAATATTTTTCTAGTTTTGTTGTTTATACATTTCTTTTTATTATTTCAGTAAATAGACTAACAACAATATTAAGTTATATTTTTTTTTTTGCTAAGCAATATGACATAAAAGCCATTGCTGGAATGTACTCTTACCAAAACGCACTGGCTTTTCTATATATTAAAAGTTGTTAATCTAACTGATATACTACAGGGTATACTATGGGGTGTGCATGTGCTCACACACATGGATAAGTAATAATACCCAGGTGCACACCCTCAGGGTCCACTTAGTAGGGGGTGCAAAATTTTAGGTTTCTATGTTCTTTCCTCTTGGAGCTATGGTGATCACACGCACACACATATTATAGATACTACCTCTGTATTACAAACTTATCATCAAACGGATGTGAAACAGTCTGTTCTTATATGAGTCACTATGCTATTGAATAAAAAAAATATATATTCATTTGTGGCTCTTAATTACAGTATAATATTGAAACCAATATTTGTTTTTACTTATTAAAACTAGTTACCTTTGTTCATATTAAAAGTCCTAAAAGTATCTGTTATGAATTTATTGAGTCTGACAGTTACATGTGTTGCAGGGAACCAGAATCTGCAGTTGATAAAGGACACGCATCTCATAAAACTCAGTCCATAAGTTGTACAAAGAGCCTTGTGTACCATAATTTCTATCCAAAAGGAAGCTAAAAGTAAAACTAAGCAAAAAAAAACTATATTTATTAACAAGAAACCATTCATCAACTGAGTGTAAGTGATGTAGCTTGTAGAACTTCATGATCAGTCAAGTAAAACTGTTTCTCAGGATCTGTTGAAGTGGAAACTGACTAAAATGTCATCCAACCTAGAAGCCTGTGGCAAATACAAGAAACAATGAATGCAGTAGTTCATTGCTAAGACATCTTATTGTATGTAAAAGTATGAAGACATATTGTTAAAAATTTGGTCAGATTGTGTGTGTGTGTGTGTGTGTGTGTGTATTTGGTGTTGTAATTTTCTCTGAGTCATGTTTTTTTCTGCAGCATTTAGAGTATTCAAGGAAGTGGGAAAGCTTTATAGGAACCCTTTGCTCTTCTACCCAACATGTTGCTGTAGGTAGTGGTTACAAATAATGTTCTTTCTCCTAGCACATTTCACTTGGGTTTTTTGTCAGGATGCACTGCACTATTTAGATTCACACATCTTATTGTTTTCTGATGCAAAATAATAAAATCAAATGTATAGCATTGTGCTTTATTAGCTGTACCTGAAAGACTTCTCTTACTGTAACTGAATGAAAGACTGCCTTAGCTGTAACAGACTGAAATATTGCTTTAGCTGTAATGGACTGAAAGACTGCCTTAGCTGTAACAGACTGAAATATTGCTTTAGCTGTAATGGACTGAAAGACTGCTTTAGGTAACTGACTGGAAGATTGCTCTAGCTGTGACTGACTGGAAGATTGCTCTAGCTGTAACTGACTGGAAGACTGCTCTAGCTGTAACTGACTGGAAGACTTCTCTAGCTGTAACTGACTGAAAGACTGCTCTAGCTGTAACTGACTGGAAGACTGCTCTAGCTGTAACTGACTGGAAGACTGCTCTAGCTGTAACTGACTGGAAGACTGCTCTAGCTGTAACTGACTGGAAGACTGCTCTAGCTGTAACTGACTGAAAGACTACTGTAGCTGTTTTTAAATGACAGATTGCCTTACCTATTTTACTACTCTAACTTTTGTGGTCAGAATATTAGGTTTAATATAATTATGATTTTCTTATATTTTTAATACCTTAATGTTATCAGGGATTCTTCAGTATTCTATAAGTATTCAGAGGAAAAAAATGATTATGTACATATGTATTTTGATGTTTTTTAATTTACTTGATATTTTATTTCTCAATTATTTAATCAGTAGTATGTGAATAAATGAAAGGTTTTGATTTTAATTCCAAGTACATAAATGAATGTTGAAATTACAATTGGACACATGACTTCTACATATCTTCTTGAAGCAGCTACATGTACGGGACAATGCCATATCAAATTTAACACATTATTGCATGTTCTTTCCTAAAATTTTTCTCTTCATTAACACTATTCAAGTACCTACAAATTGTAGTGCATGTGGTTTAAATGTTCTTAAAAATGTCATAGGAAAGCATGTAATTCTGTTCTGGCAAAGAAATGGCAATGAATGTTTTGCATGTTTTGTCAGATCTTAGTTAGTGTCCGATAACTTTGAATAATATATTTTCCAAAGACTTGTACATTTACACATTATTTATGTATATTCTAGTTGTGTAGAAAATAACGAAACCCAAATACTTGAAAGTCTTGTGTACTTTTAAACGGTCTTCTTTCTTTTCGTTTTTTAGAGGGGTATAAAAGTTTAACAGTTATCTGGTAAATATATGTTACTGGGAAAAGAATATGTAATTGCTAAATTTGATAATACAGTAGTTAAAACATTTTCGTTACTATAGGGAGTTGCCAATCTCCAGGCTGTCCTTATCACATGGTACCATCTGGTGGAGACAGCATCAACAGCAGAGGATCACAAGTGCAAGTGGGCCCATCACTTGGGATGAAAAAGTCGAGTAGCCTTGAAAGTCTCCAGACTATGGTGCAAGAGCTACAAAAGGAAGACAAGAGTCAAGCACGGGGTTCTCGTCGACCCACAGGCAGAGCAGCAAGAGGACGTGGATGCAATGAAAGTTTCAGAGCTGCAGTGGACCGTTCATATGAAGGACCTGTTACTGAAACCATGGAAACTTGTAAGATATTTATGATGAAACATTAAGTTGTTGTTTAGAAATGTGTTATGGAAGATCCTTGAAAACAACACTTTTGCAAGAGTTCTAAGCAATGTGCTTTGACTGTAGAAAAATAAAACATCCGTGGTTGTGTGTATTGAAGTATGGTTTTCTGACATTGGGAATTTGTTTAAGGAGATAGTACCATATTAAACTATATTCCCAGTTCTTATGAGTGTGATTTTGTTCATTAGTATTGTATTCATTATATGAAAACTTTATCATGAAATTACTTACAGGAGATTTGTACAGTGCTGTATCCTAGAAGTAAGGATTACTATGGATTAGTTTACTAAGGCCTGAATGCTTAAAGTAAGGCTTTAAAGGAGTTAAGAAATCAACTTATCAGATTCTTTCATAAAATCAAACAAAACCTTTTTTATTTCTGATATTGTTCATGTCAAGTAATTTACAGTATGTCAAGGTTTTATGTACATGTTGGCTAAAGATTCTTCTACAGCTGGTGTCTGTGACTTGTTGGCGATAAATTTGACAATAAAATGACAGCACACACACTCCACTTGTTTTAAAATAATATATTCAAAACAAGTCAAACTACATACAGAAATTCTTTACACTATGGATATCACAATTGTATCTCAAACTCTAAATAATTCTCTTTTTCTTGTCAACAGTCCACTTAGGTTGATTCAATTACTTTAGATTCCAACTGACAAGATGAACTATTTTTTTTCTACTCTTATCACAATAGTATCAGTGAATAATTCAGTTATGCTACCCTGTTGGTTACCACAGTTGTATCCTGAATTTCAAATAATTGTCTCCTCACATACGGGTTCAATTATTTTAGAACACCCTTTGACAAGACAACTTATTTTTCTTAAATCTATTAAACTGTGAAACTCACTTTGAAATATTGCCCATTAAGGCTAATCACTACCACACTGGCTAACTTCATGTTTTCTTTTGCAAACTAATTTTCTGACTGAACTGCACTTTACTTTGCTTGACTTGTGCTCGCTTGGTAGCTTATATTTATACATTGCCCAACTGAGGTTTCAAACTTTCTCTAAACTACATGAGTAGTGCTGTAAGGTAACAATACTCACTTAAGGTAATGAGAAAAATACCAAAGATTTGAGTAATGTGAAGTCAACAATATTAGTAAAACCTAGACAACAATGTAATTGCAAACACAACGTATGACTATTACAGAGTTAAGTAGCGAAATTTGTCACAACTAACACTTTTAAAACAATCCATCTTCAACACTCCTGTCTTAAAAACTGAACAATCGTTAAATATTAAGTTACAAAATAAACTAAATAATAACACTTACACTGAACAGTCTTGTATATCCAACACAGTACTTTATAAGTGATAGAATGATTTTTAAAATTAGATTTATATCTATCAAGCTTCAGATCGTGAATGAAATCTCTACTTAAGCATTCCTGTGTTTGTGTTTAATTACATCTTGAGTATGCTATATTATACAGGTAGGATAACTTGGGATTTATAAACAATCTCATTTACTCGTGTGGTTATAAATTCTGTAGTGGATGAAGAGACTGAGAGTAGCAGCTCTGCAGGACCAGGGGTTCATGGACGAGGATCAGGTATTAGTAGTTCTCGTGATACACCATCTGTTAGCAGTGACCCTGCTGCTGAAGAAACTGTAAATGGACATAGAAAAACTGGCAAAGTAGGAAAGAAGAAAGGACTGTTAAAAGGATTAGGCTCAGTTTTTAAGTAAGTGATTTGCTTGTTTTACAGCTTAGATGTGACCTTCGTTTTGTTTGATTTTCTTTTATGTAGTTATATATCATAGGTGATGGAATAGTGGGCAGGGCAGCACCCAACCAAGGTTGCTGAAAACCATTACAGCCCTTCGGAAAGAATTAGTATATGACCCTCAAATAGTTTTTGGAATGATGCCACGTACATGCATGAGTAATTGAAGACATAGTTAATGTTTGCTTAAATGTTTTGTACTGATTTATTACATTCTGCATACAGTTTCTTTTTTGCTGTTCTTATGGGCCCAAAGGAAATACCTGTGGCCTCTCTGCCTTCTTGGTAGGCCTGCACCCAACCACATTGATTCATCATATATATCAATAGGTGTACGATTTCTCAATCTTTAACTGAGATTTTGTTCCAAAATAATGAACCACTATAAACAGATGAAGTATATATAAAATACATTTAGTAGCTGGAAGTTAAAAGACAAGAGATTAAGATTTACAGAAAAATTAGAAGGTCGTGTAAGTTGATCATTGAGCTGCTTATTTTTACATTCATTTCAAAATGATTTTTCTTGATTTCCATCATATCATTGCTCCCAACTATATCAAAATAGGCCCAAATTGCCACTATATTTACGAAAATATTCCAAGAGAGCATGCTCTTAACCCCCCTCCCCTCCTTGAGTTTTGCTTTAGTTCAGCAAGTGCTTCTGATAAGTTTAATTCAATTCCAATTTTGGGTGTACACAAACTTGGCTTCTTACACTTATGTATGTGTATGTATTATTATATTCGTGATGTCTGTTGATTTCCAAAATACCCTTAAAATGTTTATATTTATTTCATAAGATCATTTTACTTTTTGACAAAGTACAGTATGTTTGAGAAGTTTTGCATGGTATCAAAATCATGTGTTGAAACTTACATTATAGGATTTTTACCTTTGACAAGTAACAGTAAAAATTATTCTGAAGTAATATTTTCATAATGATATTTTTACAGTGTGGTGCAGTATCTAAATCAGACTGTCAGTGAGTAGAGGGTGATTTTCAAGTGGATATTAAAAATGTGTATAATTAAAGGGATTTAAACAATAAAAATGATGAAAAAGTCACTAAATAGTATTTGAAAATTGTTTTGTATTTTTTTTCTAAGAAGTGTGGAAAATGTTTAAAATTCTTTTCAGTCTTGTTTTAATGCTCAAAGTCACTTGATACTGTACCTTAAGGACATTAAAAATGAAAAAATTGGGTCAGATTTGTTTAGCTAGTCGAGAAATTCATATTTCTTTAGAGTGGCTCTGTGACTGTATGTTATTAGAATTTTTGTTCAACAGTGAATTTATAAGTTTCTTGTTCAGGAATTTCTCTGTTAGATATTTGCACATTTTTTCTTTTGATTTTAATATGCATATTTAGTGGCTTGTATGCTTATTTGTGTTATTATAATCAAAACTTTTCATATCTACTAGATTTGGAAAAAATAAGAAATTAACCCATGATCAAGCAGGGAAGTCATCCAAGGAAGAAACCGAAAAAGAAGAAGAACGTTCTCGTGCACGGCGAGCTGCTCAGGAAGAACAAGAAAGGTAGTGCACAAAAAGACTATTTTTATAAGATTTTATAACTTGTAGTTGTAGCAATAGCAAAGTTAGAAATATAAACTAGAAGAAATTAATAAAGAGTAGGAAAAAATTTTCACCTAAATATACAATCAAAATTTAACTTTCTGTAAGAAGAAAAACAGCAAATTTTATCTCCATGCCATGAGATGTTTACACGTTGACACTTTACCTTAAAAAATGTCTCTATTTTTTGTCAGTTAAATGGAGTCTTATCATTGGGATATAGATGTAATTAACTTGTCACGTTCAGAAAAAGTAAACCTGAATACTTATTTCAAATTAATTCAAATAAAATGAATAATTAAGAAATGTCACCTTAGCTGAAACACACACACTTCAAACAAAAAGCATGAGAACCATTCAATGTTTTTGAACTTTATATTTTTTTAGCACATTTACAATTTATAATGAAATAAAACCTACTACATGACATAGCTACATACTGTGCAATTACACAGTACATATGTAAATGTTGACCTGAAAGCCAGGTTTTGTGTGCGCATTCTACAGAATACACAAATTTTGTGTCTCGGATTCATCAGTACTTCTCTTTTGATTTTATATTATCGTATTCATTACATGAATAAGTAATCTTTCTATAGATTATGTACAAAAAGAGTTGCTAAAAATCTTCAATAAAAATCACAATAAATAATAATTAGTCTCAATTATGAGTGTCAGGCAAACTACAAAAAAAGCCTATATAACTACTCTATGTTAGGTCTTCAGTTGGGTATCATCACTGTTAGCTGTGTTTTCAGCTCTTATACCAAAAGCATCTGACAAGATTGGTGTATAACAAAGTACTAAGCATCGAAGGAGAATTGTCACACGTAAAGCTTCATGTACCATGCCTATCACATTTCGTCAATGTAGTTATTACTATTTAAGGAATTTTATGTTATATGTTAAATCTATCTAATACTATAGATAACTAAAATGCATAGTGAATTAATTAAACTTGATATTGTAAATTACATAAAACCATTATTAAACTTGTGTATTATTTAGTATATTTCAAGTTCCACCTAGATGTCCAAAAAAACAATAGGATGGTTTGTCTGTATGTATGACCTTTCGTGCTACTGGACAAGTTCTACTTGTTTTAATTCACTAGTCCTCTGGGCTGAAAGAAATTTTGCAATAAAACATCTTGTATAGCATTAAAAACAATATCAATAGATAGCATTTATAAAACTTGCAACTGTTCTCCTTTCAGAATTTATTTAAATTTATTTTTTCTATGTAGAGGAAGAAAATGTAGATATTTCTACTTCCCAAACAAAAGTTAGAATTGAGGAGCACAAAATTGAAATTAGCATTAGCGGTTTTGATTTTTTTTTCATTATTTTTCCAAAAACAAGTGTTAACAATATTTATATCAAAAGAAAGTTCTAAATCTCACTATTGCTGTTATAGCTTTATTTTGAGGTGAATTGAAAAAAGGAGGTCAGACAGAATTTTTGAAAAATATTACTATCTTATGCCCTTACCAAAAACAAGATACTGGACTGGTAAAGATTAAGTTTAGAGTCTTCTATAAGAGAGTGGAGGGGAGCTTAAAATATTAAGTTAAGTAAATAAGCCCAAATCCTGAAACCTGGACAAAGCCAAGTTACAAAGTTTATTTCTTGGTCTATAAACATAACGTAGGTACTTGCAGTGAGATATACACGGGGTTAGCTTGGTGGGTTCAAGCCCCTGCCCTTATGCCCCAAAAGTGCCCTTTTTTCTCTGTCATAAAAATTTTCAACAATTATGAACCAATACATCTGATTCCACACCTTGCTTGTTGTGAGTTATTATGGAAAAACAAAACAAATTTCAGTATTCAAATGAATAGCACCCAGGGACTTGTAGGTTTTTGTAGTAAAAGAAAAATTTTTATATGCTATTAAGTGCTAACACAATAATTTACTGTTTAGTTTCAGGTTCTTAAAATGTTTATAAGACCAACTGAATAGGAATAAAAGAGGATCTGTGCTTCTTACCTTGTGTGTACCAGAGTGCTGCTAAGTTTACAAAAATAGCATGAGTACTTGTTTTCAAAATAACACCAAATGAGTGCTGTTAAGCTTACAACACAACATAAGTACTTGTTTTCAAGATAGCATGTAGAGTGCTGCTAAGTCTTAACAAAGAATGGAGTAAATAATTTCTTATATAGCTTATTAACTAGTGAGAAGCCTAGCTTCAGGAAGTACTTCCAAAATAGTCCTACAGTTTGTGATTTTATCAGTTATAGTTTTATATGTACAACTGTCTTGTCAAGTAAAAAACATAGTTTTGTAATACATATGAGAAACATAGTAATACCAGAAAAAATCTTTAATTGTGGACATTTTGGAATTATTGTGGCATTAATTCCTCAAAGCTCCCTATGTTCTGACTACAGAAAATAACATCAGCTACTAAAGAAGAAGTTTTTTGATGTAACCAAAAGTTTGTAAAACAGATTTAAATGGTAACAATATAACAGAATGTGCAATAAAATGTCCTGCAGACACATCTGGAATAATTAAAAAAAAACATAAAGAAAGGCTGAAATATGAGTATAAACCACTACATTTTTAACAAACAAGAAAATAAACAAATAAATCACTTAATACTTTGTTGTTTTGTAGTTAGAATGTTCTGAACTAACATTTCAAGGTTTTAATGCTGATGATGGAATTTAAAACAATTCCAAAATGTACGTATTTGAAAGAAATTTTTTTGGTTTTACTATGTTTCTCATATTTTCATTATTGAGAAATAGTTTTTGTTTTTGATACAAACTACTGAGAGTTTCTACAACAATGGAAGTAAAGGTTGCAAAGTATACATTAACACTGAGTTAATTTCGTTTTAAGGATACAAGAACAATACAGAAAGCTAGTAGAAAAGCAGAGACAAGAGCAGCAGCAGGAACAGACATATAATAAGGAAGGTTTTACCTCAATAAGTCATCTTCCAACTCAGACTAGACAAGAAAGAATGCATCAACTCAGAGCTCAACACCAACGAAGACATCAGGAGCGGCAAGGCCATTACCCTAAAGATGAACAAGAAGAGGTTTATGAAAAAGAGATTACAGAGGCCATTGATCGTCAACCGGTATGTCTGTTTTATATTGGTATAATGTGTACAGTTAATAATTTTTATTATTTGCAAAGCTGCAATTCGGCACAAAATGATCCTCAAAGGTACCAGTTTGAAGCTTCTGTGATCTACATAGTTAAAACATGCATTATAAGGACTGAAGTTGTAGAAGGTAGAATGAGAAAGTTGTTAGAGATTTAAAAAGAAATGACTTTGAAAATTACTGGTCCCTTTTTATAAGTCGCACATATAATTTCTCCTAATCAACCATCAGAGGGTAAAAGAAATTATATTTAATATTATGGTAAGAACTTGAACCAATAACCACTAATAAGGTACTTTTTTAATACTAACACTTAACTTCCAAAATGTACGTATTTAAAATAAATTTTTTTGGTTTTACTATGTTTCTCATATTTTCATTATTGAGAAATAGTTTACTTGATATATAAATTGGTTTTGTGTTTGATAATTTAAGCTAGTTCAAATGATAGAATAAAATATTGCAAACATTGGGTAAATGGTGTAACCTTACTAGTTTGCATGATCTTATGTCCTTTTAAAAAATAACTTTAATATTTATGCAGATGTTTGGAAGTTCATTGAAGCAACAAAGCAGATGTTTATTATCCAAACCACTGTCATGATGTTAAAAGATGTTTCTTGCATTTGTCCTCTAAAAACTGGATAGTTGCAGGGAAAATTATACATTTAATTTTTAAAAATTGCTAATGCATAAAAAAAGTACTTTTATTTTGTTTTTAGTACCTTAAGGCAGGCCTCGACAAATCCTGGGTGCCAGGTTGCCATGGCGTCTAAAATATTCATCATGGCAGGAATGAAGTGCTATGGTTGCACAACATGTTACTAATTTTGTGCCATTTTGTTTTTCTTCTTTCTCTCACTTAAACCAATCAGTGAGCGTGTTTATACTCAGATGGGACCAAAGGCAGTTAGTTCAGGCAATACTATCAAATGGTTGTTGATATCATGTGATCGTTACCATGCTGTGAAAATAAATAAATAAATATACGTATCCCCCATTTTCAGGTGCAAATAGTAGTGAGGTTAGGTTAGCCACACCTGGCTCCTAGATCTGAAAATATTTGTTGAGGCCTGACAAATATGGACCTTAATTTTCTGCTATCCACTTTCTTTTAGCCTCAAGATGAAAGTTTTAAAATTGTTTACTCCAGTTCTTTACAAAGATTGTTTTTTCTGGATTTTACACAACATGTTTGAGTATCTTCACAAGCATCTCAATAATTCTGTTTTACATCTCTGTGGGTTTGTAATACTCACCATTTGTTTTGCTATAGAAATACTTCTCTGTAGGATTATTCAACATATTTAATTTATTTCAGTGCAGGTAATGCCTACTTTTGAGGTTTTTCAGATGCATGCAAACTGTTTTAGAATAATAGGTAATAATTCTCTAGGATTTTCTTGTATTTGACACCTGTGTTAGAATAGGTAATGCTTACTTCTCTGTGTGATTAATACATGTCACTTGTTTTAGTGTAAGTAATGCTCTCTTCTCTGTATGATTAATACATGCCACTTGTTTTAGTGTAAATAATGCTGTATCTTAGCAAGGAAAAAAAATACTGCTTGAGTGTGAATTTCATGATTGTGTTATAACATTATGCTTTCTGTCGGTGATAGTATTTTGGGCAATAATCTTTTCATCTAATATGGTTATGGTTATTCTATTATTGTTGGGCTTCTACACATCTTTTTTCTTCATCTTTGACTTTCACTGGTCTGCTTTCAGCTGAAGCGAATGTTACCTCCTCTGCCCAACCCTAGTTTCTACTCCCCCAGACGTCCTTTGCCTATAAAGGTACAGTATATCAAATACTTCTGGAAGTCTCTGCTAATCTTTTCTATTTTTAATAAATTAACAATAATGTTCTAGTGTACTTCATGAATTCCATCTGTGAAAATAATGATACAGTGAATAGACCTAAGAATTTAGTGTTTTTGTATTGACTCTGAATATTCTTAGGGCACGTTTTAGACCAAACATCATTTTACAGCAGTACCCCAAAAACTAGTTATTACTTGTAAATGCTCTACACAAAAGCTGAATTTATTCATTATTTTCCATATCAAGTTTTGTTGTGCATTATCAAATCTTTAATGGATTTAAAAGTTAGGTAATGAAAGTTTTTGCATCATATATTCAAATAACCTGGGGTTGTTACACGCAGATTTGTGATTAATAACAACAGTTTGAAGATCGTGTATCCTTTGTGCGTGTACTGAAGACGTAACCTTTGCAACTGTGTCACATAAGACATGAATATAACTTTTCCTAATATAGTTCATTAGATCTGGTATTAGTACCATAATGAGATTGTCAAGTTTCTATATTTCATTGTGTAAGATATGAAAAGACTCAAGGAAACGAGGTTATTTCTCTTCAACATTTTCCAAGAGACTAATGGGATACGTTCTTTTCTGAGTATTTGTTTTGTTTAAATTCTATAAAAATTGAACTTTATGATGTAAGTCAAAGAAACGAAATAAGCAGCTTATTAGAATTTGTTTATGAAAAGATAAAATTAATTACAAATATTGGAATGATATTAACCCTTCCCAGGTCTGTGAACATCTTTCAGGTGTTGAGTGCACACCTGAATGTCAGATTTAAAAATTTAAGTAAATTTAATAGTTCAGTTTTAACAATTATTTACTCGAAAATATTTTAGAATTGTTATTTTGTAGCATTTATTTAATGTAATGTGCAAGAAAAATGCTAAAATATGCATTTATTTTCAACTCTTAGGTGTCTCGCATGTAACCAATGCACTTATTATTTTTTATTTTTCTGTCCATCCCCAAGCAAAGGTTTATATTTGTTAAGAAAGTATTGTCCCTTGAGAATATAATCATCAATGTTTGTTTCTAATGTGATTTTCCTTGTCTTTCTCTGATTTTATTAGTACATTGTTTTGCTTTTATGACCTCACAGGACATGATTGAACAACTGGTAGTGAAACTCAGCTTTCAAAATGGCTACAGGCAAAACTAACACTATTGTATACAGCAAATTATAAACTATAAGTGGTGTGAGAAATAATTTGTTGATTTGCAGGAACATGACAAGATCTAACTCCTGCAAAGAAAAACCAAATAATTTATTGGGGAGTTTAGAAGGCTTAGGGAAATACCACAGACCTGTGAATTTTGTTATATGGTTCCTTTAGACATCATTTTCATTTCTGAAAATATTTTCATGTTGAATTATATGATTTAGAGCTATGAAAATTTTATCCTATGATAAAGAAATTGTGTAAGCTTAGTCAGGTTTAGAGATTCTGGTAGGTGAAGGCAAAATATTCAGATAACTCAAATCCTTATTTATTGAACATCATAGTTACGTTTAATGTATTTAAACAATGTAGATAAGTAAAATAACTTATTATTTGTTGCAAGGAAACAATGTTTATTAGATACAAATTTGTTCAAGAAATTGTTACATAGCCTGTCCTGATGCCATACTAACAGGTTAGGTCACCAATAAATTGATTTAATTTTTAACAGTTTATAGCTAGAAGTGATGACTACTACAATTGGCAAAATAAATATCTTAATGAATATCAATCAAAGTGAAACTGATATATATAAATATATATATATATTTATAAATTGAACTTTCTGATCAACTTAGAACAGAAAGGGTTAAATATACTAATGTAATATTCTTCAGCTGGGTAACTAAAAAATAAATTACTTGTCAGCAGTAAGAAATTTGGAACATCCAGGTCATTCATTGTATATTAAAAGTTTAAAACATTTATAAAGTGATAATTTTTTCTCAACAGAGACGAGAAACTGAGGTTCTACATAATCGGTCCCACAGTTTTGACATCTACAAGGAAATGGAAAGGTAGGAAGGATTTATTAATGGAAGTCTATTTTAATTCCATTCTATTAGAGACACAAGCATCAAGTCCAAGTTTTGGTTCTAAAAAGCTTTTATGCACAATGGGGCCAAGGATGGCTTATTGGTTAATATGCCATTAAACATGCTCTGCACTTTTAGCTATGGGCAATACAAAATTGACAGTCAACATTGCTAACTAGTTACCCTCCCTCTAGTTAGTAATCAGATATTAGGGATGGAGCCTCTGATTTAGTTATTAGCTTTCTCAACACAGGCTCAGTCAAACTGATTGATCACGTGACCATTTTGTACTTGTTATAGTTTCAATACTACTAACTTTTAATATAGTATGTGTAAAACCTCCTACGTACATTTCAAACGTTTTTTTTTTCAGTAAAACTTTATATTTTATCTGTTATTTTCTCTACTCTTAACTCCATATAGGATTGGTCAATTTGACCTAACTCATAACCACCAAAAAAAAAATCAAAATAAATCTAAATTACCCCTTTTTTTTCTTTCTAGAATGATTTCAAATTGTAACATGAAACTACATTTGTTTATTCTAAGTAGCTTTAAAATTCTAACAGTATACATCTATTCATACTTAAATTTTATTGTTTTATTACTATTTGTGCCATTATAAGTTGTAAATCACTTGGGGGAATACGTAAACTACGTTACCCACAAGCTATTCTCAGCTGCTCGTGTATGTGCCTTGTAAAACTTTTTTCATTATATTATTATTATTTATTTTTTCTAGTCTAACCTTAACTAACCTAAAGAGATTCCTATTTTTACATTGTAGTTACTTTTATAATAATAAATAAAGAATACACATCAAAAACAAGAAATAAAGTACTTACCTGGGCCTTCTTTTTTTGCTGTCAATAACACTTAAACCTATAATTTTTATTTAATTAAATAATGCACCAAAGAATATAAAATAATAACATGCAAAAGCAGACAATATCCCATAACTATCACAACCTTTCTGGCTTTCTAACAATGCGGCGAGAGCCGTTACAAATTCATCCAAGCTGATAAATATGTTTCCCATGGGAACGAAGCTTGTACTGAAAGAGAAGTTGATAATTCCCTGTACAGAAAACAATGTAATATAATATGTCATGTCATAAATGAAAATCTTGGATTTCTATTGGTTCTAAATAATATAGTATTAAACATGAGAGAACTATTGACAAATCCTGAAAGAGAGAATGTGACAGGTGGGTGTGGCAAGAGGGGTCTGATTATCTGTTTGATGGCTGCAACCAAACAAGATCAAAGGCTATGAAAATTATGCTTTGCTTGAGCAATGACAATATTATAGTGAGTAATTTACGTTAAATTTCATACTTATTGGAGGGGTGGTGAACAAATTAGATAAGAGGGGATGCCTAGAGAAAAAATGTCACATTTTTCACACTAGGGCAAATTCAGATTTTTTTTATATTGCCTTATAAAATTAAGATATTATATACTATTAAAATATGGATATTAGCTATGATTTTATGCTATACTAATTGATATAACATAAACAAAAAGTAGATCAATTAAATATTGAATGTAACTCACTGAAAACCTCGTGACATACACAGTAAAGGATGCCCGTGGTGAGAGGGTTAAACCCAGGTGTCACATAAGACAATGGTTCTCAGCTTTTTCAACTTCATGGGCTAGCGGAATAATTTTGAAATGTTGTTAAAAGCATATACGCCTATAGTTAGTGTTTTCTAATTTAGCTTTTTCCAGAAGGAAACAGCATTTTTTTACTTGTTTCTAACATATTTACAAATTCAAAATTTTATGAAATATATAAGTATTATCCATGACATAATAATGCTTTTTTTTCACTGGTTGTTCCAGTAGACCAGTTGTTTGGAACCACTGGTATAAGCAGGAACATATGAACAAATTAGCTGATAAATAATTATAAAGAATATTTTGGAATATAACATTGTAAGAGTACAGCTTATTATTAGGAAACTTTACATTAAACATGAAAAATCATGTAGATGAATTATGCTGAGTGTAATGTTTAGAAAGACTGAAACAATAATACGTTATCAACGGTAATTATGTGTATTCCGCTTAAACAAAAGAATTGTGTTTGGTAAAAAGCAGAATCTATTTTTTTAAATAACAACTGAGCAGCAATTTGCAGTTTTCTGTGAAACAATAAATTTAGAAATTTTTTTTTCTGCATTTTAACTAGTAATCTGTAAGTTAAAACTAACTGAAATTGAATAAAAATGTCATTATACAATATTATACATGCACACACGTTCATCAAAGTAGAATTGCTGTAGATTAATTTCAGTTTCTGTCTATATTCCTAAGCCAGGAAGGTAGAGTGGGCTGATCCAAGCAAATAGTGTACACTAACACCATAAAAAAAACATCAAGTCCACCCTTTCCAGTCGGTGGAACCTCCCTCATCCCACGTACCTAATGGCTACAATGATCTCTGTTCAAAGTTAGCCATCAAGTGGTTCTTTATCATTCTTACCTACAAGTGGTTTTAGTAACATCAAGTTAAAACCTCATATTTCATTATTTATCTTTTTTTTTGTTACTTATTTTAAGCCAGATGAATGACACTACTGATACCTCTTGTTGAGTGTGGTGAAATCTTCACTTAGATACATACATATATTGTTGTTGAATGGACTAGCTATACATAAAGCCAGATTAATCTAAATAGAAAAAATGTGCCTATAGGTTAGTTTCAATCTCTGTCTATATTCCTAGGCCAGGAAGTAGAGTAGGCTTTGCTGACCCAAGCAAATACAGTCATTATATGAACTTCAAAGAAATTCAACAGCATCTGCAAGAATACAGACAACATCAACTACAGAACCTTCCTCGTCAGCCACAAATGGGTAAGTCTTCTCCCTTGGGTCAGAGAGATAGACCAACATCAAACTTTTTTGAGTATGAAAGCATGCAAGGTGGTCTTCAACAGAATACTGAACCAAACACCAACTCATTACCTCGTCATTCTAACATGACAGGACATCCTCCAAACCAACCTCATCCACCCCACCAACACTATAAAAAACATCAAGTCCATCCTTTTCAGTCAGTGGAACCTCCCTCATCACACAAAGCTAATGGCTACAATGATCTAACACAGTTACGGCCTGTTCAAAGTCAGCCGTCAAGTGGTGCTTTATTATTCTTACCTACAAGGACAAAACGAGAAGGACCTGGATCCAAAGTGTAACTCTAGAAAGGCTCTTTATTACTGTCTCAAAGAGAGAGTATGTAAGTAGTGTACATGAATTTCCAGAACAAAAAAACAATTCATTTTATTATTTCATTTGAAGTAATCAACAAAAGTTTGCAAAGAAGTAAGTGGTAGTTGTTTTTTTTTGGATGGAAAAACTTCTAGCATGGTTTGTAAATATGCCTTCTTAGGCTTATTTGGGGGACCTTCTTGACATATTAAGTACTGAAATTACTATCCACAATAACCGAAGGTGGACTGGTCTTTCAATTTTTACTGTACAGGATGTAGTGAACTTAAACTTCTCTTTTTTTCCACGAGGAAAACAAAGTATAATGCCAGTTTGGTTTTTTTGTTTCATACATTTAAAGGAACTTATGATAATGACCTCAACTCATATGTTACATAGTGTACAGTAAGTTGAATTGTGTTAGTGAACTGTGGCCAAAGAATCTCTTGTCTGGTATTCTTGTTATGACTGGTGTGAAGCATCTTTGTTTCAAACAAACGCTCCAGTATATGTTTTGAAACAAATAGTGATATTGACTTTTCTTTGAGCTCAAATCGTACATGCAATGTATATAGTAGTTGCATTTTCATCAGGAACTAAAAATATCATTAGTGAATGATAAAACATATGTTTATACTATTAATATTTTTAAAGGTTTGTCTTAAATAGCAAGATCCTAAAATAAGTAATTCATTTGTTGGTGTAAAATTCGAAATTTCAGTTTTACATGTATATATATATATGTATATATAAGTTCTATAATACTCAATTCAAGTATTATGTGGTGGAATAATGACATTCTTAAGCTCTATACGTATTAAGTAAATTTTGTAACTTACTAAGCTATTATTCTACCTTATAATCTAAAACTTGTAAATATAATACTAACCTTTTCTGTTTTGCAAACATTATTTAAGACAAGTCTGTTTTCATTTACCTTTTCCAGTTTCATCATAAAACATTTGTGTTGTTTAATTAAAGAAAAAAAGTTTATACTGTTCAAAATGTTCTTTTTCTTTTTAAAGCAAACTATTTTGATTGATTCATGCATAGAACTTTACAGCTTTTTTAAAAAAACTTAAATAAATCTTAGAGTTTTACTTTATGCTTAATTATAACAAGAATCGGCCTAATCACAGGTTTACTTGGTTGTGTAGAACTGCTGACAGGTAGTGTTTTATTTGTCTTTTCATTGCTGCCAAAGGATTGGAAGTGACTTAACATTATATTAACCTGAAAAAAATAAATCTAATTACATTTTATGATTTCTTTTATCTCCCAAAACGGAAACTTGATCAAAGTTTTAAAATAAAGTTGTAGTAGTCTAAACTTTTACTTTTTTTTTTACTTTGATCAAATATGTAGAGTGAGCTGTTTTATTTAAAAAAAAAGAATAAATTGTTGTTTTTCACACTACCAGTTGTGAATATATGTATAACTGTATATAAACTACATACTTGACTAGTGGCCAGTGACAACCATCGCTGACTAGTAGCCATTAAGAAATTATCAAACCCAAAACTGTGGTCAGTGAAAAATATTTTATTTGGTCTGGCCAGTGACAAGATCCAGAAAAGTTTATACTAACAATTTTTAACCTTTATTTGATCATGAACTTTTTATACCTTATGTTCTGCTAACAAATAAACCCCAGCAGTATTTGGAGGACCCAGAAAGTTTTGTAACTATAGTTTTTTTATTTTTAGTTTGCCCCTGTATAACATTCCACTGTTTCTATGTTCGCAGTTGTCTTATATCATATGTACATAATATTATTTCTTTCAATAAGACATGTAAGGGATTGTCATTGAACTTGCATGTAGTAGTGAAAAAAAAGTATTAATAAAGGGATTTTAATTTGTTGAACTGAGTGAAACAATCAGTCATGAATACATATTAAAGTACTTAGTGGTGGATAGAATTATTTTACTTTTAAATTCAATGTGTATCAATCTTTTCTAGGCATTTAAATTTGGTTAACATAAAATTATAAAAGGACACCGTTATTCACAGTGATATGCCAGCCAGCTCAAGTCACAATAATGTTATTTACTCCAAATATCAAGTATAAACCCAATAAATTTGGAGTACTCTATATAGCATTAATGTTCAGTTCTTCTGTAAAAGTCACTGAATTCTTACGTATTAGTGTCTCTCCGAGTATATTCACTGGCTTCATCCTCACTGAAATCTATTTGGTAATCAGAGTTGCAATTATCAAATTTCATTCTCAATCCTAGCTACTTCTAAGTTTTCATGGTGGAGGTATTGGAGATTATAGTACAAAATAACTTTAGCCGTTTCAGTTAAACACTTGGATAACTGTTCACTCACTACAGTCCTTTCCACCATGTTAAAAGTTTGGTGATGACTTCCATAGTAACTTTTCTGCTCTATATATTATCAAGTCTTAACTCTTCAGTGGAGCATGTCATCAGCATGAAATATGTTAGGCCTAATCTCATTTCAATACATACAAATGTAAACATTAAGGTAAGTGAAAGCCAATGTTGTACATTTTTGTATTTTTAAAGTTATCTCAAAAAGCCAAAGTTCTACCTTATATTTCATTACATATTAAAATATTTAGTATAAATAAATAGGATTAATGTTAGTTCAATTTAAAATAAGTACATTAAATGTTTTTATTTCTGTGATTAATAATATGACAACATAACTTACAAGATAAGAAACAACTATCATCCTAAACTAATCTTTAATTACAAAATATTTATTTCTCATCATACATCACATTTACAGAACTTGGCAATAAAAAACCCAATGGTATCACGCTCTACAGAATTTTCAAATCCATCTTGTGGTGAGATGCCAAATCTCTGCAACTTTAATCTTTGCTCCTCACTAAGACCTCCACCTATCAAGCCTTGGTATCCTAAATGTGGTTCCTAAAGGATATATAGTATTTCAGAAACATACCACTATAACTTTCTGTTTGTGATCACTAAAGACATTATACATTTGCATACAAAAGTTTAACAAACAAAAATTTGAATGAAATTGAGTAGAATAAAAAAAAAAAGATAAACCTCGATACAAGAAGCTTAATAATCCAAGTTTGTTTTTTTTTGGAAGATACATCTTCTTTCTTCATGAGTGAAGAATGAATAAACGTTCCGAGTTATTTTCTAGGAATATAAGATAAGCAGCTATCTTGACTGTGTCATATTACAACTTAATTAGCACATGATCTCAACTGAATGTAGCACATTCCATATTAAAAGTTAAGAATGTTTTTTTTAATTTTGTATGATATGGAATTCTTTGTTAAAAGTATAAACATAAATCTTGGAAAGTATTTAAGATGTTCCAATGATTATTGAGCACAAAAAGTGTAAAAATACTATTTTCCTGCAACTCTATTATTTCCTCAACCCTATCCAGCTTCATATCTTTTGTTTTTTATAGGGCAAATGATATTAATGATTAAAAAATTCATTCTGATATTGCCCCTCAAATCATATACAAAATAAAATTATAATTCATATTCAGAATTTATTAAATTTTATTATCCTCAATCGTAATTGAGTCCTGTCTCAATAGATAAAATTTATCAACATACAAAACAAAGCTGCAAATACTGTGGTCTTTTTCCAGTTTGTTGCTTATTTCTGGCTCAAACAGTTTAAAAACAATGGATTTTTTAAGTTGGTATCAAAAATTACAACTAACTTTCCAACTTCTAAAGCTAACAAGATCATTGCTGGTTTTTAAATGATACATGATGGTACTAAATTATTTTATTAGTTTCCCTGCTGTTTTGCTTATATTAAAAAATCACTTAAGCAGTTCCTTTTTTATTTCCATACACTCATGCTACTAATTTGAATCTAATGGTAGTTTTTGATAGTGGACTTTGCCTCAATGTGAGATTAGAGATTAGCAGTGGTCTTTATAAAACAGCTGTACATAATTTCTAAAATAATCATAGAAGTAACTTTTATAATCCAGTTTTTTTTTGGAAGGTATGCCTTCATTCTTCATGGTTGAAGAAAGAATAAATATGTTCAAGTGTTTACTGAGAATATCAGATAAGCAGCCTTTTAATCAAGTAATGCCTATGACTGAATTAGCACATTCTATTAATATGAAATACCACAACCATACACAAAAGTCTTCATTAAAAGTACAAACATAAATATATATTATTTTCACAATGTATAAAACACTTTATTGGAAGATTTCTTTCAACAAGATGGGAGTGGCACATCCTGTGAAACCTGGCTTTTAGGTCAGTGGTTATGGGTGTGTTACATACCTGAATAACGTACACTTATGTCATATAGTGGTTTTTATTTCATTTTAAATTTACCAAAAACTTTCCAAGTTATTATTTTTTATGAATACAAATGCATAAGTAGAGCTGTATGATTAGTGGTATTTGGTTATCAGTTAAATGACAGCCTCAATTAGTATAGTGTTCCTAAAACTATGGTGTGTAAGAGGGGGGAAAATAAAAATTGCTGGCGAGTGCCACTAGACAGTTGCCTTCACTCTAGTCAGTAGTTCAACATTAGTGACAGACAGCCTTAGTATCTCTACCAATAACAAAGCCAGGGCAAGCAAGTTTGGTGGCAATGGGACTTGACCCTGAGACCCTCCAGTCCATTTTGTTTGCTTGTATTGTTGAACAACTATTAAATAACATTAAGTTACAAGAGAAAAGGATAGGCAACAATACACCTATGCTATATATATCACTGTTTCCACTCTTCAGTGATCTACTTACTGTCTTAACGACAAACAGTGGGGACATTTTGAAGAAAACCTGGTCTATTAAAATTTAATCAAATGTTTGCTTATAATTTTTCCAGGAAGTTCTTCTGCTACAAGGTTTGTATGATGATTAGAAACTTATTTTCATTAATCACACTTATATCTTCTTACCTGTTTCTCTAATGCCAGTGATGGAAATGTGTCCAGTGCCCAACTGACCAATCTTTCATTCTCTGCAATAGTGAGAGTACAGGTACTATACACAAGTTTCCCAGTTTTCTTTAAAAGAGAAACAGCCTACATTGGGGAAGAGAAGTGATCAAAAACTAGACGTTTATAAAACAAATACTTTCAGTAACTATGAACACAAAACCTTAGCCATCCACTCTTATAAAGATTATAGGCACGTGCAATGTCTTTAATCTAAATGGTGAACTTCCAAGATTTTTTGTCAATCTGATAAGCTAGTACATTATGTAAATCCAAATGAAAACAATAATTTCAAAAATTAACCACCTACAAACCTAAGTCGTATAACACAAAATATGGCCTGAACTGATTTTAGTTACAATACTTCAAACAACTATTCACAATAATTTACTTCTACATTCATTTTTATTTTAATAAATACACTTTCTTAAAAATAAAAAAATTAATGGACATTAATTGTGTGGCTTTTATTTTATACTGTTGTACTAAAAAACATTAAAAGTGTTAGCATCAAGTCATAAGTGAATACAACTACTGGTTCAAAATCAGAGATTAATGTGTCTGCTTGTGTATTAGTGGTTTGAAATCATACACTTATTTTAACAATGTAATGTCTGCTACTTGATTCCAGTTGGTTAAACCATGGAATAATAACCGTAATGAAGAAAAAAAGAAATACTTGTTATTGTTGTGACACTGACCCATGTACAATAATATTAACTTTTCTTTTGTTTAAAGACTGTTTTAAAAATCTCATTCTAAGGTGGTGAACTGAGTGCACTACGAACAAATATATCTTTGTAAAAATTTAATTACTAGAACTTGTAGAAGACAAGTTATACTAATATGGTCCTAAGCAAGAAACTATAGTCATAAATGTGTAACTATTGAAACATGATCTTAACTCTATATCTCTCCAAGACTTACTGTTTTAAAGAGTTTTTTCTGTAAAGAAGGAAAAGAACAAAGCTCTTTTGTACTCATGGAATTTGTGAACTGTGGACGTTGACCAAGGGCGCTGCAAGGTGCATCAAGTAGAATACAATCAAATAATTCTGGTGGAAAAGGAAGCTTAGGAACACCTCCTGTACAGTTATAGGATAAGACTAGTTACAGTCAAATAATATGTTATACAACTTTATCAGTACAACATTATTCCTCATTCTAACAGCCATAGAAAAGACCTTTTGTGAAAATACACACACACACAACTAATTTGTAATATTTAATATTAACAGAAAGCTAGGTATAGGCATCAAGAAGTACTATACAGTGTGATGCTACTTCAACTGTTAATAAATCAATTACCAGATAAGATCATTTTATTCCCATCATTTCACTGTATCTACTTTATTACACTTACTTAAAATAACTACTGTAGTTTTGATTAAGTTAGTCTGTGATAACATTTATACACCAAATCTTTTTTGGGAATAAAAAGATTCTATCTGTTGATCAGTAATATTTAAAAACAGTTTTAAAATGTTTAATTTTCTTCAGTTTTTATCACAATCATGGTGTTTTTTACTCTTAATAAGATACAGAAAACACCACAAGGTTTATTTTTTATACAAAACATAATATTTTATGTACAATATTTTAATGAATTTGTTAGGAGGAAGCACATGATCATTTTCAAATGTTCAGTCATGGTTATACCAAAAAAAACAACAAAAATCACATTTCAGAACATGAAAAAAAATTACTTTTATATCAGAAACTCTCTTACTGGTCTAACTTAATAAGTACAACTGTTTACATGCTTTTCACAAAATGATATAGCTCCAAGTCATTTAAT